GAATTACATACTTGATAATTGCAGTCATCCGATATGCAACAATTAACTCGGCATTACCTGATGCACAATACATTAACCAGAACAAAGCTTGTTGATTTATCTGATAGAAAGAAGCTCCAGGGAAGTCCGTTATTTCATCCTGAATGCAAATTTTAAACATCGGCAATCACTTCACCATAATCAATGGTGAACACAGATTTAAACGTAATATGCGTTAATATTACCCAATTATTAACTATAATCCTAGTTTCATGGAGTTTTTGAGACCGCATGTCCTTAGAAGAATTGTCCTATAGTTTTGATATTCAAAACTGTTTAACAGCCACTAATTTTTGCCAAACTTGATCCAAAATACTGAAAAGTGACTAAGTACAACTGCGGTCATCGATATTGCATCGAAATGGGTGTTGACTTCTGCCACAGTCTGGATCTTCCGCTAGTGATCCCAGCTAGTTTTGCGATTAGCATTAAATCGTTTGCATATCGATCGACTTCAAATCATTCTTGAAAACTCCCACACTACCCTCGCATTTTGGGTACATAACGGTCAAGTGAAAAGATTTAATTTCTTCACCGCTAACAACAGCTAACGTATAGCCATCGTTGGAATGGAACAAGCCGACGAGGAGATCCAGAAGTTGCATTGCAGTGCAATTTTTTGAACAGACGGTAGATGCGCAACGAAACTCCTTGGTCAGCATGACTTTGCCTTCTGTGTGGCACACCCAGAAAAAAGTTTTTAAATAAACCGATATATCAAACAGCATTATACTTACAAATTTAACGATAATAAAATCAAATTTTAAAACTAGAACCAGAATATAATACAGTAGTAAAATATACAGAGACAACATACAGGCATAGCTATAGCAGAAGCACTATCCACCAATAAGGCGTATGCTATAGAAAGCAGACAAAAATGCAACTGTTTTATTCAGATCTTTCAGTGCAAGATTCGATCGAAACAATATCACATAGCACCGGAGGGTAATGAATAGAGGTAAGTAAAAACAGAGTAACGAAACGGATCAGTTTCGAACGACACGTGATCAGTCGTAACTCAATGACGACGAAACAGTTACAGAACAAAACTTTACATGGAAGAATTATTTCAAAGAAGCACAAATGGACTAATGACTGAAGTTTGCAAAACGTGAGGGTAACAGGAAGACCTTGAATAGCATCCGAATGGAAGCGGAACAAACGAAAAATAAACAAAACTGAAACATGACAACATAATTTGGTTACAAACTGCAAAAAAACTAAAGTAACGCTTGACAACAACAACAACCAACCACAGATGAGCAAAAACGAAGCCCGAACTGTGAATGGTGTTTCTGACTCCAAATCAGAAGACGTGCGACTGCTACTGCAACAAAACTGGTCTTTGACTATCAGTCGCTGTAAAGCGGTCAACTGAACGTGAATCTTAACGCACCTGTCTGCCACCGTCAGACTCCAACGTACAGTGCAGACAGCACGAAGAGCACTGACCAAGACCGAGACGAGCAAGTGCTATCTTCTTGCGCAAGCGGATCACCTCCCAGTACGTTTCTTGCACTATAACGAAATCGTCAAATGGATGTCGTACATTCACAAGCTACTGCTGACTCACATCCGCGTTTGATTAGACCCTGCTTCAGGTAGCGCAGATACATGAAAAAATCGCAGATGCTGGCGATCTGAAACAAGAACCACAGTAAGAGCGCATTAATGCTGCTGGGACGTATACGATAATCGACTCTACCCTGTTCCTGCATAAAGTAGAAATGTACATCCATTGGTCGTTGTTGTCCGTTTTCATCCGGTAGCTGCACAGTCTGGGAACGCCGGTCAGAACGCAACACCTGTATGTAACGAATAATCATTTTTGAGCGAAGGCTTTGTAAGCTGCAACGTTAAACAAGTACCACTGTCCATCATTCTCAAATCAACATAACCCTGGAGCGGATCTCTTCACCAGATTGGTCTGATGACCTGGATCATCATTTGTCTGTTATCTAAGCCAGCTTAGTATTTTCTTAACCTGTACTATTTACCAGCGCGGTGGCAACCACAATGAAAAAGAACAAACAAAAAGATTCCGTCAAAGGGATGAGAAAACTATGCCTAAATGTGAATAATGAAAAATGGCCTAAAATAAGAAGAAACACCGAAAATCCTAAAGAGTCCTACAAGGAACGGAAACAGATATCAAAACGAAACGATCATTATGGTGAGCAAAGATATGACACCTGTTTCTCAGTTTATCACAAACGTGTGTATTAAAATGACCAGTAAACTTATACTGAAAAAGAGTTGACTAAAGAGTGTACTAAACTGTCGTATAATTCGACTGTCAAATAAATAACATTTTCCATGATAATGAAAATATATTCCACTCCTTTTGCGCAGATTTTGCAGCCAAAATAAAGGTACGCTCGAAGGCATTACCACAGCCTGTTAAGTGGGATCCGGTCATACGCTATTTCTAGGTCAACAAAACACATGTACAACGGATGGGCGTACTCCCACGATTTCTCAACAATTTGGCGCAGAGCAAATATATGGTCAGAGGTGCTTACACGATTTCTCAACAATCTGGCGCAGGGCAAATATATGGTCAGAGGTGCTTCGACCGGGCCGGAAGCCACGGCTCTTCTTGAATCTTGACGTCAACTATTTCACGGCACCTCCTTTCTAACACCTTTGCGTAGACTTTACCCGTGAGGCTCAGTAGCGTTATGCCAATATAATTGGAGA